TGGTAACAGTTGTTACTGACGCTATAGGGAGCGATGATCAGAAAATAGGGACGGTGATTGGCATTGAATGAATGAATGTATTGATACATCGTCACGAACCAAGACTCTAATCCTTTGAATAACGACAACTTCCTAGAAAATCACTGCAATCAAATCCTGGGGAATACCCTGGTAATAAAATGTACCGCCAGATTTCTAAGTACCGCCAGTACTTCTAGACAGAATCCTGTGCCGATACAGCAAGCATGCGTAAATGAAAACCCCTTTTATAAAAAAAAAAAGGTACAGAAAATGTATAGTTATTCGCAGACTATATGTCTTTGTTAGTTGAACTTCAATTGCTGACATTTGTAGATCCGACTTTTTCGAGAATACGGCGACACAGTCCGAGAACCGGCTATACTCCTTTCTGCTCGATGCGGCTGTTTCCGTACACAAAAAGCAGACTGTTTTGTCTATACTACAACTTGAATGGAGTACAGGATGGATGGATGGACGTGTGCGATTGATTTAACATTTATCATAGGTATTTCATTTCCCAACGAATTAAAATCATCTCACACATCTTATCCAGAAACGTTTTGTTTTTTACTAAATTTGTATTTTTTTGGCAAACACTGACCCACAATAGGATAAGTTTGTGAACTTGACATTTTTCCATTTGTCATTGGCTTGAACACACGACACATTTTCTTAACATCACCTGACGCGGTACCGTCGGTATTGTCTGACCTGAACATACATTATGATCTTTACCCATGTTTAGTGTTGGTGTTTACAAGGACGGTCATGTAGAAATCATAGCGAACGACCAAGGTAACCGTATCACTCCGTCCTACGTGGCATTTATGGCAGATAGAGGTCGTCTGATGGTGTGAAGAGATTGATTGGACGTACTTTGGATGACTCGTCAGTTCAGTACGATGTCTATTTTTTTTTCGTTCAAGGTACGAGTATATACAAATACAACTTCCGTATCCAAAACAAAGCTTATTGTAATCAAAAGAACGAAACGAAACGAAACGGGGTGACACACATAATAACAAA